TGTCAAAAGCGTGCATTAAATATTTTTAATAAACTATTAAATCAACTTTCTGAATATACCCTCAATTAGAAGAGACCATGTAAGCGCTCAGAACCACCGTGAGCTCTGCTTTGGCCATGTCTACTCAAATAACTGTCCAAGTTTATGCTGTCGTACTGCTAACAGGCCGAAAGAAGCCGTCTGTAATTTTGGTTTTTCAGAGGAACGATTCTGGGAAAGTGACAGCCAAGAACTTTGGTCATTGCGCAAAGGGCGAATTTGAAAGAAACTGCCACAGTAGCCGAAATTCCTGGAACTGAGCCGAACGCGTGAGGGAAAGTATAAAGCGACCGATCGGCGGTTTCGTGAAATACATGGTTATAGCTATGGATGTAGGTTTTCTGTGGTGCTGTTGTACTGCATGGCCATGAGTCTTCAGAACGCGTAGGACAGAATCCCTCATAAACGGTACACATCCCATTGGCCGTCTGTGGAGGTACTTGTACATCAAACTATGGAGCTTTTTTCATCAGCTTTAAAATCGTTCCTTCATCGTCATGGTATGCCGAACAGCCGTGAAACGTCGTACATGTATTTCTGAAGAAGAACAGTGAAAAAGTGTTCGAAACACGTACTCGAATGTTTTCTCCCTTTAGGGAGTGTTACAAACTTTTCAGGTTTGATCTATAAATCTATGACAACATAAGTACGAAACAACTTTTCAATGTTTACCTTTAAAATCGCTTTTCATTGGACAGTTAGCATTGTTGCCTTTCAAACGAACCAACTGAACCCTATCGATGTTACAGGCATAAGTTAAGTCATAATGAGTCATGGAAAGCCGTCGATAGGTCTTCCAGGTGGTTTTCCATTAAATGTAAAGTTCGTGCACATTAAATTTTTTCGCCTCTGCGCCATTTCACTGCCCTCAAGTTAGGGTAGGTGGACGAAGATAGATTTAAAAAATTAAATAAAATATATTTACTGTAATAACTGCTTGGCAAAACGTAGTCTAATGTTTTTTAATCCTTGACACCTCAGTTCCGAAAAAGGTACACGTGACAAAGAAGTCAAGAGGCGTTTTGAGTTGGCATTAGCAGCGAGCAGAAAGTTATTCAAGCTCTGGAAGGGGAAAGATGTTGGCAAAGATAGAATGAAGCTGCGAATATACGTGACTTGCATTATGGACATATTA